AAGGCAAATTTTGGCAATTTTTTTTTTTTACAATTTGCAAATTTCTGCGGTAACAGCCCTATCAACACTATTAGATAATGAAAGGAGCGAGACCTTCGAGTTTAACGTTCATCTCCAAAAGGACAATGTAAAATGCGAAATTCATGTAAAGTGCCTTCCTAAAGACACAACATCGGACCACTAGACCAGCAACGCTACACACAACCTCCCGATTACGGGTCAGGTAATCTAACCACTAGACTACCGACATTACACACAACCCCATCCTCCAACGTCACCACAGTCCACTCTTGAATGTCGTCTTCCTTCCTTCTCTTTTTGCGGGTGGTTAGAGGGTGACCACAGTGGAGAGAAGAAAATTAAAATGGTATGGGCATGTCACAAGATCCACAGGACTTGCCAAAACAATTCCCTCTGTTGTTCTTGTCTGTCCGTCTTACTTTTCCCCAGCACTAAATGATCTTCATTGTGTCGATGTGCTTCTCTTTACTCAAACAAACCCACAATCCTTCTCTTTATCTCCAGCACAATGTCTCGAGTTACCGCCCTTGCCATACTCCTGTCCGTGGCGGCGTTTGCTGCCTCCAACCCAGCCCCCCAACCTTGCCAGTTCCCGTCACAGTTCGTAACTCTGGAAACCTGCATGGAATACAGACGTTGGGCAAACGTCTTCTCTGACTTCACTAACAAGCGAAAACTGCTCGACTTTGTCGACTCAGACGATTTCATCTACGTCGACATGGACGCACAAATTACCAAGAGGAAGTTTGGCGGAGTTTGCCTCACCTACCGAGAGAAGGGGTACGCCATCAATTTTGACAGTATCCCAGCAAGCTCCGTGCTAGAGACGAGAGCCGGCTCTACTGTTGGTGAGGACGTGGAAGTGGTTGTTTGGAAAATCGACACGCCCGCCACGGAAGGAGAGATCGCCGTCACAAAAGACACCTGCTACCCTGTCTATAGCTCCTTGGTGGACAAATCGACGGAGAAGAGTCTGTACCTGCTCTATACTGACGTGCAGGAGGAGGGGTTCGACGCGTCTGTCTTCGACAATCTTGACTTCAGCGGCTGCCCAGATGAACCACAATAATTAATTGTCATTTACAACGGGTACTTGTTTGTAGCTGAGGGAGAAATGTTTCCAAAGATTTGTTCAGTCACTGAAAAATAAAAAGATAACGAACTGGTTCTAGTATTTGAGATAAATAGAAATCTTTTCTATAGTTTTGTCAAGTAACAAAATAATTTTTAAAAAGATAAGTAATTGATGCTTTCATTCCAGAATTGATAGGAACATTTTTTTAGATGTGCCAAGTAACTGATATAATTATAAGATGGGTAATAGGTTCTTGTATTTAGGATAGAAGTGTTTTTAAAGATCGTTTATGTTACTAAACGGAAAAAAGACCACAACAAGGGTTTGGAATTTGGTAGAGAAATGTTTTCACAGAGTCCTCATGTGACGAAAACTAAAATCAAACACATATCAGATACACAACAGGTGCTTGTATTCGGGATAGAAATACAGTAAGGAGGTTTAATATAACTAAATAATGTTTAAAAAGTCACTTTTAAAACGTTAAATGGTGTAAACGTAGATTAGCTGATGGTCTTATCTCAAAATATATCGCACGGATGTTTTCTGGATCGCTAAGTGTGCCAGAGTAAAAAGATATACCAACCATACCACAAAGCAACATGTGGAAGTGAAGCTTCTGATAGCTCAAAATGTGGCACCAACTTCTATGTGAGAATTGATCTAAGTTGCCATGGCACAGACCACGACTTATCTAACCTCTATTTCTTTTAGTTAAAAAAACAAAACATTCTCAGTCGCTGACGTATTGGCCATGGTCAGCCATTTACGGACGAACTATTGTGGTTATTATTATTATTTTTATCACTATCCAAATTGGAAGCAACAGATAATAAAAGCGTTAAAGAATGTGTTTACGTTTGAAAACTTTGTTGGATTTTAAATAGTTTACTTCCTGGTCCAATCCCTGGTTTTAATTCCATTTTTAGGGGTCGGGGGGGGGAGAGTTTTTTTTTAAATGTTTGTTTGTGTATTTGTTTAATTGCTTGTTTGTTTATTTGTCTATTTTTGGCTTGTTTGTTTGTTTGCTGGTTAATTTGTTTGTTTGATCATTTTAGTTTAGACTAGTTTCTGGGGTTCTCTCGTGGCCTAGATGTTAAGATGTTCGCCTTTTATTCAATAGGTCCCGGGTTCGAATCCGTGTGGAGCCGGACAATTTTCTTCCTTAACATTTCCTCCTTGCGACGCCTTTCATGCTCTCTTACAGTGTCCTGTTGTCTGCTTTCGTCCACACTTTCTGCTCACACACCCTCGCCTTACTTTGTCCTCTCATCTGGGCTCCTGCCTCTTACTGCAACCTTTCTTATGCTACTCCTTGGCTCCTTACAGCTGTTTTTCAGCCACAAACCTGATCTCCACCTAGTATTCTCAGACAAGGGCGAAACCTCTCAGAGGTCTAGTGTGCAAATTGCACAGGTCAAAAATCATTTAATGTGTCTCGCACGCTCATATGACCTTATGCAGATGCGAGACCTGTAAAACACTTACAAAAAAAACCCCTTTAGTTTTGTTTTTATTAGGGGGTGGGGGATGGGGGACAGGTCATCATAATCATTGCCATATTTTCGACAGACACCGGCAACCACGGTTCGCCACTTAGTTTGTTATTTATTTATTTTTCTGCTTGGATACTCTTTGAAAAGCTACATTTCCCTGATCTTTCCGCGTCACCTGACTGTTTAGGATCTCCAATTGGTTGCTCTGTGTCTGCACCTGTCCCTCTTTTGACTCTGCTGTAAAGGGAAAGTGCAGACTGATTAAAAATTTAGAGCTTTAGAAAGAGCTATACTGCACTTGTTACACTTTAGGTCATACAAGGGTAGAAAATTAGAACGGGACTCTCGTGGCCAAGAGGGTTCTAAAACACGAAAAGACATTCCATTTACCAAAAATTCCAAGTCACTACCTAAGCACAGAGTGAGGAATGACGTCGGCCGAAGCGGAGGTAAACCCCGCCCAACTGGAGCGACGACGAGATGGCTCTATGGGTTGCCATTAAAAGAGTATTACATCAGGCTCAAAGAGTCGTGTGCACAATACATGCCAGGTAAAAAAGTTTGATGCATTTCTCGAAGAAAAGGTGGGGATACCTCAAAGACATCGAACACAGCTCGTGAATCAAGTTTTGGACCAGGTTGTGAGGTGGCCAGGTAGACAGATCCCTACGTCCTGACGGATGACCGACAGCTACCCAGCAGTGAGCTTGACAGTGCAGTATAGCAGGAGGATGGTTTGATTGTCAACTCTGCTTAGTGGGACAACAATCTGGCTGAAAGTAGCAAAAAGTCCTGAAACAGAAGGTGGGCTGGGAGCAACAGAAGCTGCCAGACCTTTGCAATATTCTATAGAGTGTAGTTGAGGCGCAGTTCCGTAAGCTGAGGAGGTCACTTGTTGGTCTTGGACACTATCAACTAGTACGTGACTACCAGATGTTTTTCATGGCTTTTGAGGTTTTCTTTTAGAAAATGAAGAAACAACGTGATGAAGTTTCCAGGCTTTCCTGACGAAAGCAAAGCAAGACCCTCTGGTCCAGTCCACAAGGCAAATTTTGGCAATTTTTTTTTTTTACAATTTGCAAATTTCTGCGGTAACAGCCCTATCAACACTATTAGATAATGAAAGGAGCGAGACCTACGAGTTTAACGTTTATCTCCAAAAGGACAATGTAAAATGCGAAATTCATGTAAAGTGCCTTCCTAAAGACACAACATCGGACCACTAGACCACCAACGCTACACACAACCTCCCGATTACGGGTTAAGTAATCTAACCACTAGACTACCGACATTACACACAACCCTATCCTCCAACGTCACCACAGTCCACTCTTGAATATCGTCTTCCTCCCTTCTCTTTTTGCGGGTGGTTAAAGGGTGACCACAGTGGAGAGAAGAAAATTAAAATGGTATGGGCATGTCACAAGATCCACAGGACTTGCCAAAACAATTCCCTCTGTTGTTCTTGTCTGTCCGTCTTACTTTTCCCCAGCACTAAATGATCTTCATTGTGTAAATGTGCTTCTCTTTACTCAAACAAACCCACAATCCTTCTCTTTATCTCCAGCACAATGTCTCGAGTTACCGCCCTTGCCATACTCCTGTCCGTGGGGGCGTTTGCTGCCTCCAACCCAGCCCCCCAACCTTGCCAGTTCCCGTCACAGTTCGTAACTCTGGAAACCTGCATGGAATACAGACGTTGGGCAAACGTCTTCTCTGACTTCACTAACAAGCGAAAACTGCTCGACTTTGTCGACTCAGACGATTTCATCTACGTCGACATGGACGCACAAATTACCAAGAGGAAGTTTGGCGGAGTTTGCCTCACCTACCGAGAGAAGGGGTACGCCATCAATTTTGACAGTATCCCAGCAAGCTCCGTGCTAGAGACGAGAGCCGGCTCTACTGTTGGTGAGGACGTGGAAGTGGTTGTTTGGAAAATCGACACGCCCGCCACGGAAGGAGAGATCGCCGTCACAAAAGACACCTGCTACCCTGTCTATAGCTCCTTGGTGGACAAATCGACGGAGAAGAGTCTGTACCTGCTCTATACTGACGTGCAGGAGGAGGGGTTCGACGCGTCTGTCTTCGACAATCTTGACTTCAGCGGCTGCCCAGATGAACCACAATAATTAATTGTCATTTACAACGGGTACTTGTTTGTAGCTGAGGGAGAAATGTTTCCAAAGATTTTTTCAGTCACTGAAAAATAAAAAGATAACGAACTGGTTCTAGTATTTGAGATAAATAGAAATGTTTTCTATAGTTTTGTCAAGTAACAAAATAATTTTTAAAAAAGATAAGTAATTGATGCTTTCATTCGAGGATTGATAGGAACATTTTTCTAGATTTGTCAAGTAACTGATATAATTATAAGATGGGTAATAGGTTCTTGTATTTAGGATAGAAGTGTTTTCAAAGATCGTTTATGTTACTAAACGGAAAAAAGACCACAACAAGGGTTTGGAATTTGGTAGAGAAATGTTTCCACAGAGTCCTCATGTGACGAAAACTAAAATCAAACACATATCAGATACACAACAGGTGCTTGTATTCGAGATAGAAATACAGTAAGGAGGTTTAATATAACTAAATAATGTTTAAAAAGTCACTTTTAAAACGTTAAATGGTGTAAACGTAGATTAGCTGATGGTCTTATCTCAAAATATATTGCACGGATGTTTTCTGGATCGCTAAGTGTGCGAGAGTAAAAAGATATACCAACCATACCACAAAGCAACAAGTGGAAGTGAAGCTTCTGATAGCTCAAAATGTGGCACCAACTTCTAGGTGAGAATTGATCTAAGTTGCCATGGCACAGACCACGACTTATCTAACCTCTATTTCTTTTAGTTAAAAAAACAAAACATTCTCAGTCGCTGACGTATTGGCCATGGTCAGCCATTTACGGACGAACTATTGTGGTTATTATTATTATTTTTATCACTATCCAAATTGGAAGCAACAGATAATAAAAGCGTTAAAGAATGTGTTTACGTTTGAAAACTTTGTTGGATTTTAAATAGTTTACTTCCTGGTCCAATCCCTGGTTTTAATTCCATTTTTAGGGGTCGGGGGGGGGGGGGAGAGTTTTTGTTTGAATGTTTGTTTGTGTGTTTGTTTAATTGCTTGTTTGTTTATTTGTCTATTTTTGGCTTGTTTGTTTGTTTGCTGGTTAATTTGTTTGTTTGATCATTTTAGTTTAGACTAGTTTCTGGGGTTCTCTCGTAGCCTAGATGTTAAGATGTTCGCCTTTTATTCAATAGGTCCCGGGTTCGAATCCGTGTGGAGCCGGACAATTTTCTTCCTTAACATTTCCTCCTTGCGACGCCTTTCATGCTCTCTTACAGTGTCCTGTT